CGCTATGCAGGGCAAAATTTTAGCGATCAAAGCGTCCGCTATGCGGATTGTCCGCTATGCAAGGCGTCCGTTATGCGGGGGTCCACTGTAATATGTATTATTATTAACATGTATGTATTTAATAACATGTTATAAATAATAATAGTACATATTATTAATAACATGTATTATTATTAACATGTATGTTATTAAATACCATTGCCTCAATCACTGCCTCTACCACTCCAGTCACACTCAATCTACAAGCACCAAACACAATGAATTATTGTGAAATGTTTGGAAGAGCAGGGAGACTAATGTTCACTCCAGCATAAACAAAGTCACACTGACTATGTGTCAACCACTCCCTCGTATTTTTGTACAATTTCCTTCTTCAATTATATCATTTATTATTATTATTATTATTACTATTGTTATTATTAGCTGTAGCAGAAATGTTTAATTCTTTGCAGTGTTCAAGAGTAAACACATGATGTCACCGTCTAATACCTGTCCGAATAGCCATTCCAATATGCAGTCATGAATGGGTTTACATTATTTATACTGTAGTTTAATAGCAAATAATGAACAAACAAAACACTCACCACACTGAGTGGTGGGAGGGCTGGCTGCCAGTTGCGGGGGTCGGAGGGAGGGTAGTAGGGACTCGCAGGTGGCGGGAAACTTAAATATGATTTGGCAGCTGGGAATTTGGTGGCTGGGAATTTGGCAGTTGGGAATTCGCGAATGTGTGAAGCCCGTGAAAGTTGAAAACGTGAATGTTGAGGGAGACCTGTATATTGTTTTTTCAACAAACTGGCCGTATCCCACCAAGGCAGGGTGGCCCAAAAAGAAAAACGAAAGTTTCTCTTTTTAAATTTAGTAATTTATACAGGAGAAGGGGTTACCAGCCCCTTTGCTCCTGGCATTTAAGTCGCCTCTTACAACACGCATGGCTTACGGAGGAAGAATTCTGTTCCACTTCCCCATGGAGATAAGAGGAAATAAACAAGAAGAACAACTAGAAAGAAAATAGAAGAAAACCCAGAGGGGTGTGTATATACATGCTTGTACATGTATGTGTAGTGTGACCTAAGTGTAAGCAGAAGTAGCAAGACGTACCTGAAATCTTTACATGTTTATGAGACAGAAAAAAGATACCAGCAATCCTACCAACATGTAAAACAATTACAATGTAATATTACAATTACATTGTAAAACAATTACAATTAGTGTACGGAAATATTTCAGTCTAGAGAGAACAAGCAGTTTGAAGAGAATCATCACTGGCTTAGCATCCCTAGTTTTGAAGGTTATCATTATCCATCCTATCATTTTTCCTAGCAGATGTGGTAGAGACATTGTTGTGATCTTTAACCCTTTGGGGGTCGCCAAGCCCTCTCAGAGACTTTCTCAGGGTTGCCAAAATTTCAAAAAAAAAAAAAATTATTTTTTCTTATGAAAAGATAAGAGAATCTTTTCCCGATCATAATGACACCAATAGTATGAAATTTGATGGAAAACTTAGGGAATTGTGCTCTCGCAAAGTTAGTGGTCTCGACGATGTTGACACATCGGCGATTTTACCCACTTTGAGCCCTATTTTCAGCCAATTCCAGTGTACTAGTCGACAAAAATCATAACTATTCCACTAGAACTCGTTTTTTTCTATCGAATGAGTACAAGAAACCACCTATTTGCAGATATCAACTATCCAATAAAGTGGTCAGAATTTAGGAATTTTGCCAATTTCACACAAATTTCAAAAGATGCCAATTTCCAAACAGGGTCCAGAATAAACAAGAAAGACATTCCTGGCACTAAAATAACATTTCCTCTGTTCATTAGTCACATCCTCACACCCCTCTTACATTTCTTTGGCTTTCCACTTTGAATTTTTATTCTCACAAATAATAGAAGATTTACTGTTATGCAGACTACTGTATTAGTGTAGAAATGGTATAAATAATACCAGCGCACTTGTGAATATTAGATTCACCAGTTAACGTGTATTGGACGCGTGGCATGATTTGTTTACTTTTGAACTTTGGCAAAAATTGAACATTTCTGCTACTTTGAGCTCAATTTCAAGGTACAGAAATTGAGATGATTTTGATTGGTTTCACAATCAAAATCATCTCAATTTCTGTAATATGTCTTCCATTCTATAAAATAAGACCAGGAAAACTAGAATACAACCATAAATACCATACGAAAATACATTGCAAAGTTGCTGTTTTAAACCAAAAACACGGTCAGAGTTTTTTTTTCCCTCATTACGCACTGTGTGCTGCAGGATTTTTTTTATACTGCGCACACTGACCACATAGACCCATTCTTTCATATGTAGGCCTACCAGCTTTCTCTTGCTAGATTTGAGGGCGCTAGAATTTATGCATACTAGTACGTCAAAAACCCTGGCTCGTAACCCGTACTAGTACGGCCGAAACCCCGAAAGGGTTAAAAGTGACATCCTCCAACATTACCACTCCCAGGTCCTTCACATTAGTTTCTTGGTCTAATGTGTGGTTGGAATTTGTTTTATACTCTGATGCAGTTTTTATTTCTTCGAGTTTTCCATAGTGAAATAATTGAAATACGTCCTCATTGAACTAAATATGGTTTTCCGAGGCCCCTTTAAAGACTTGGTTAATGTCCGCTTGGAAATTTGCAGTGTCTTTGATGAATGACTCTCTCGTGCAAGTTCTGGTATTATCAGCAAAGGAGGACACAGTGATGTAGCTAATACCTCTGCCTAAGTCAGATATGAAGATGAGGAACAGGATGGGAGCAAGTACTGTACCTTGTGAAACAGAGCTTTTCACCGTAAGAACCTTGGACTTGACTCTGTTTACTTCTGCTCTGTGTTCTGTTGGTTAAGAAGTTATAGATCCATGCACCCACTTCTTCTCTGAGATGTAATTTACATTTGTAATCCTTTGAAGAGTTTACCTTTGAAGAGTTTCGAGAGTTTCACTACTCTCAGAGCTCCTTGTCCCATGGGCATTTTATTCTGTTTTTTTTTTTTTTTTAGGTGGGTTTTATTCTGGTGGGTTTTAACCTAGTAGGTTTTATTCTGGTGGGTTTTATGATGGTGGCTTTTATTCTGGTGGCTTTTATCCTGGGGGATACCATACTGGATGCATATATATGGCACACTGGTACGGAGGTGGCAGGGTACGAAACTAGGGCTCCCCCCATAAAAGACAATGGCCTGACCCACAGGCAGATTGTCTAGTGCTCACTATACAGGGAAAAATCCCCGCCATCCAGCTTGTGGCACTGAAATTTTTCCCTACCAAGAAGAAGAACTTTCTAAATTGAATTTTACGAACTGTAAGATGAAAATATGCCACAATTTGACAATTTGGATATGAGCTAAAATTCAGGATGCGAGCTTCCCCTTCAAGGGAGGTTCCTTGATGCTGGTGAGGGGCTCTTGATCTATGGAATTGTATCTGTGCTCCAGTTCCCTAAATTAAGCCTGAATACCTTCCATCCCCTCCCCCCCACAAGCACTGTACATGTATAATCATACGGTTTTAGCACTTCCCCATTATAATAATTTTTTTTTTTTCAACAAGTCGGTCATCTCCCACTATAATAATTAGAATAATAATACTATAATAATAATTATAATAATACAATAATAATAATTATAATAATACAATAATAACAAGTGAGCTTCAAAACGCCACCACAATATGGCAGAGTGAGTACCACAACAACACTCAGAGCGAGAGCAGGAATGCCCACCACCACTTGCCACATAATGACATATGTATTTTATTCATTCTAGAGTATGTATCAGGTTTCTATGTTATTTATATTGTTTATGTCATCTTAGATGAATTTTGATTGATAAGTAAGCTGTAGAGTTGATATTAGCATTATACTGAAGTGTATTTTGTCCTGCCTCCTGAGAGCAAGAATTCCGCTGGAACGGATTAATGACATTTCAATTAATTTAAATAAGGAAAATTGACTCGGCATACGAGCAGATCGGGATACGAGCTAGGACACGGAATGGCTTAAATTCATAAGCCGAGGTTCCACTGTATTTTCAATATCCTGAGCACTGTTTTCGGTCACAAGCTTTTCAAAACCATAGAATTCCTCTTCAGAGCCACTTCCATCTGTGTTAGAACTATCACTTGGGAAGAGGGGATTCCCAATTTGCTGGGGAATGAGAGTTTCCTTAGAGCGAGGCATGATGAACTAAGTGTACTGAGATGACATTCCCACAATGCTATGCGGTCACCCCGATTTTTTGTTTACTGCACACACACACACACTGACCATGACCAGGCTTAGATATAAGCCTACCAGCCTTCTTGCATTAAAACTATGGCATGGACCCTGGCTTCAAAGCCGTAGAACTACAGGATGGACCCTCAAAGGGTTAATGGACATTGTCCAATGTTGTGGATGATGTCCATCCACAGATTTTGTTTATTAACTCCAAAATACTTCCGATTAGTTATATTAGCTTGACTGTACCTCCCTGTTAGTAGCAAGCACAAGACTGTATATGCAATGATTGTACTGCCCTGCTAGTAATCAAGCACAAACCTACATATAACTGGTAAGGCAGACTGGAGTCATATACGTGAAAGGTAGCACTTGCACTACAAGGGATGGGTGGGATGTTTCAGGGAAACCAGTTAGGCAAACTCTGAGTCTCACTCATCCCACTCTGAGGGATGGGCGAGTGTTGGAGCTCAATGGGTCATGTAAACACTCATGCTCGCACACTTCTGACAAGACAGCCATTGAATAAGTGATGGTTAATGCACTTCTTTCTTTGGGTTACTATCTTGGTGATGAATGGCTGATGTGTGGAAAAAAGAATGTGATTAATAGTTCACGTGGAAAATTTTTATAATTTTTCTGAAATTAGTGTGTAAAAGTTGAAGATTATAATAGTGTTTATGTAGTGTTGATGAGACTTTTACAAAAAATTCAAATGATAGAAGAACCAACACAACGACATATTTCTGTGAGTTCAAAAGTAAACTTACATTATTATAACCAGTAGGAAACTCATAAGGTTCAGTGGGGATGCTGGCAATTGCTTCTTCTTCATAGGGAGCCTCAGAACAATGTAACATGGTCTGCTGAAAGTCACGAACCACTTCCCTCTTCATGTAGTTGTGCCAGGAAGCAGTAACTTCTACCAGATTATTCTTTTTGGTCCACTTGGGTCGCTCACCTTCCTTAACCAGCTGCTTGTCAGCTATCATATAGGTAGGCACAATATCCACTTGAGATTCTTTAAGGAAGTTATTGGCCTGAAAAAAAAATTATTAAACAAAATATTCACAAGTTCAGTCAAAATTGGCTATCAAAACACCTAAAGCAGGAAAATTCCTGAAATAGGAAAAATAATTGGCAATAATTATATTCCAGAAATCTGGATTAATGACTCACGAAATCATAATGATACGATTGGATTAATGTTTTTCATTGAAGCCTTTTTTCTAATCTCCGAGGCTATGGGTCCCCATAATTTGTACTAAAAGTGGACCCTATCTACATTTTTTATGGAAGTATTTTGAGATTACATAAATTTCTCTGCAAGGGTGCATATGTAATATTATTTGTTTTAACAAGTCTGACATTTCCCACTGAGGCAGGGTGACCCAATAATACAGAAAAAACTTTCATCATTCAATACTTTCACCATCATTCATACATAATCAATGTCTTTGCAGAGGTGCTCAGATATGACAGTTTAGATGTCACTCCAAACAGCCAAAATCCCAAACACCTCCTTTAAAGTGCAGGAGTTATACTTCCCACCTCCAGGATTCAAGTCTGGCTAACCGGTTTCCCTGAATCCTTTCACAAAATATTACCCTCACACTCCAACAGCTCGTCAGGTCCCAGAACCCATTTGTCTCCATTCACTTGTATCTAACACACTCATGCACACTTGCTGAAATTCCAAGCTCCTCACCTACAAAACCTCCTTTACCCCTTCCCTCCAACCTTTCCTAGGGTAACCCCTACCCTGTCTTCCTTCCCCAATTGATATGCTCTCTAAGTCATACTACTTTGTTCCATTCTCTCTAAATGACCAAACCACCTCAACAGGCCTCTGACTAATATTTTTAGTATTTCCACACCTCCTCTTAATATCCACACTACAAATTCTTTGCATAATATTTACACATTACACATTGCCATTGGACACAACATCTCCACTGCTTCTAGCTGCCTCCTTGCTGCAGCATTGACAACCCATGCTTCACACCCATATAAGAGTGTTGGTATCACTATACTCTTGTACATTCCTTCTTTGCCTCCATGGATAATGTTGTCTCTACAGATACCTCAAAGCACCATTCACCTTTTTTTCCTTCATCAATTCTATGGTTTACCTCATCCTTCATGAACCCATCCACTGACAAGTCAACTCCCAAATATCTGAAAACATTAACTTCTTCCATACTCACTCCCTCCAATGTGATATCTATTTTTTCTTTATCTAAATAGTTTGATACTCTCATCACCTTACTCTTATCTATATTCACTTTCAACTTCCTACCTTCACATACCCTCCCAAACTTGTCCACTAACCTTTGCAACTTTTCTTTAGAATCCCCCAAAAGCACAGTATCATCAGCAAAAAGTAACTATGTCAACTCCCATTTTGTGCTTGATTCCCCATAATTTAATCCCATCCCTCTCCCCAACACCCTAGCATTTACTTCTTTTACAACCCAATCTATAAATATGTTAAACAGCTATGGTGACATTACACATCCGTGTCTAAGACCTACTTTTACATGCATATATATATACATACATCTAGGTTTTTCTCCTTTTTCTAAATAGCTCTTGTTCTTCTTTATTTCTTCTATTGTCCATGGGGAAGTGGAAAAGAATCTTTCCTCCGTAAGCCATGCGTGTTGTATGAGGCGACTAAAATGCCGAGAGCAATGGTAGTAGGTTGGTAGACAGCAACCACCCAGGGAAGTACTACCATCCTGCCAGATGAATGTGAAACAAAAACCTGTAACTGTTTTGCATGATGGTAGGATTGCTGGTTTCTTTTTCTGTCTCATAAACACGCTAGATAACAGGGATATCTTGCTACTCCTACTTACACTTTGGTCACACTTCACAGACACGCACATGCATATATATATATACATACATCTAGGTTTTTCTCCTTTTTCTAAATAGCTCTTGTTCTTCTTTATTTCTTCTATTGTCCATGGGGAAGTGGAAAAGAATCTTTCCTCCGTAAGCCATGCGTGTCGTATGAGGCGACTAAAATGCCGGGAGCAATGGGCTAGTAACCCCTTCTCCTGTAGACATTTACTAAAAAGAGAAGAAGAAAAACTTTATAAAACTGGGATGCTTAAATGTGCGTGGATGTAGTGCGGATGACAAGAAACAGATGATTGCTGATGTTATGAATGAAAAGAAGTTGGATGTCCTGGCCCTAAGCGAAACAAAGCTGAAGGGGGTAGGAGAGTTTCAGTGGGGGGAAATAAATGGGATTAAATCTGGAGTATCTGAGAGAGTTAGAGCAAATGAAGGGGTAGCAGTAATGTTAAATGATCAGTTATGGAAGGAGAAAAGAGAATATGAATGTGTAAATTCAAGAATTATGTGGATTAAAGTAAACGTTGGATGCGAGAAGTGGGTCATAATAAGCGTGTATGCACCTGGAGAAGAGAGGAATGCAGAGGAGAGAGAGAGATTTTGGGAGATGTTAAGTGAATGTATAGGAGCCTTTGAACCAAGTGAGAGAGTAATTGTGGTAGGGGACCTGAATGCTAAAGTAGGAGAAACTTTTAGAGAGGGTGTGGTAGGTAAGTTTGGGGTGCCAGGTGTAAATGATAATGGGAGCCCTTTGATTGAACTTTGTATAGAAAGGGGTTTAGTTATAGGTAATACATATTTTAAGAAAAAGAGGATAAATAAGTATACAAGATATGATGTAGGGCGAAATGACAGTAGTTTGTTGGATTATGTATTGGTAGATAAAAGACTGTTGAGTAGACTTCAGGATGTACATGTTTATAGAGGGGCCACAGATATATCAGATCACTTTCTAGTTCTAGCTACACTGAGAGTAAAAGGTAGATGGGATACAAGGAGAATAGAAGCATCAGGGAAGAGAGAGGTGAAGGTTTATAAACTAAAAGAGGAGGCAGTTAGGGTAAGATATAAACAGCTATTGGAGGATAGATGGGCTAATGAGAGCATAGGCAATGGGGTCGAAGAGGTATGGGTTAGGTTTAAAAATGTAGTGTTAGAGTGTTCAGCAGAAGTTTGTGGTTACAGGAAAGTGGGTGCAGGAGGGAAGAGGAGCGATTGGTGGAATGATGATGTAAAGAGAGTAGTAAGGGAGAAAAAGTTAGCATATGAGAAGTTTTTACAAAGTAGAAGTGATGCAAGGAGGGAAGAGTATATGGAGAAAAAGAGAGAGGTTAAGAGAGTGGTGAAGCAATGTAAAAAGAGAGCAAATGAGAGAGTGGGTGAGATGTTATCAACAAATTTTGTTGAAAATAAGAAAAAGTTTTGGAGTGAGATTAACAAGTAAGAAAGCCTAGAGAACAAATGGATTTGTCAGTTAAAAATAGGAGAGGAGAGTTATTAAATGGGGAGTTAGAGGTATTGGGAAGATGGAGGGAATATTTTGAGGAATTGTTAAATGTTGATGAAGATAGGGAAGCTGTGATTTCGTGTATAGGGCAAGGGGGAATAACATCTTGTAGGAGTGAGGAAGAAACCAGTTGTGAGTGTGGGGGAAGTTCGTGAGGCAGTAGGTAAAATGAAAGGGGGTAAGGCAGCTGGGATTGATGGGATAAAGATAGAAATGTTTAAAAGCAGGTGGGGGTATAGTTTTGGAGTGGTTGGTGCAATTATTTAATAAATGTATGGAAGAGGGTAAGGGACCTAGGCCCTTGGCAGAGAGCATGCATAGTTCCTTTGTATAAAGGCAAAGGGGATAAAAGAGAGTGCAAAAATTATAGGGGGATAAGTCTGTTGAGTATACCTGGTAAAGTGTATGGTAGAGTTACAATTGAAAGAATTAAGAGTAAGACGGAAAATAGGATAGCAGATGAACAAGGAGGCTTTAGGAAAGGTAGGGGGTGTGTGGACCAGGTGTTTACAGTGAAACATATAAGTGAACTGTATTTAGATAAGGCTAAAGAGGTCTTTGTGGCATTTATGGAATTGGAAAAGGCGTATGACAGGGTGGATAGGGGGGCAATGTGGCAGATGTTGCAAGTGTATGGTGTAGGAGGTAGGTTACTGAAAGCAGTGAAGAGTTTTTACGAGGATAGTGAGGCTCAAGTTAGAGTATGTAGGAAAGAGGGAAATTTTTTCCCAGTAAAAGTAGGCTTTAGACAAGGATGTGTGATGTCACCGTGTGTTGTTTAATATATATTTATAGATGGGGTTGTAAGAGAAGTAAAATGCGAGGGTCTTGGCAAGAGGCGTGGAGTTAAAAGATAAAGAATCACACACAAAGTGGGAGTTGTCACAGCTGCTCTTTGCTGATGACACTGTGCTCTTGGGAGATTCTGAAGAGAAGTTGCAGAGATTGGTGGATGAATTTGGTAGGGTGTGCAAAAGAAGAAAATTAAAGGTGAATACAGGAAAGAGTAAGGTTATGAGGATAACAAAAAGATTAGGTGATGAAAGATTGAATATCAGATTGGAGGGAGAAAGTATGGAGGAGGTGTACGTATTCAGATATTTGGGAGTGGACGTGTCAGCGGATGGGTCTATGAAAGATGAGGTGAATCATAGAATTGATGAGGGAAAAAGAGTGAGTGGTGCACTTAGGAGTCTGTGGAGACAAAGAACTTTGTCCTTGGAGGCAAAGAGGGGAATGTATGAGAGTATAATTTTACCAACGCTCTTATATGGGTGTGAAGCGTGGGTGATGAATGTTGCAGCGAGGAGAAGGCTGGAGGCAGTGGAGATGTCATGTCTGAGGGCAATGTGTGGTGTGAATATAATGCAGAGAATTCGTAGTTTGGAAGTTAGGAGGAGGTGCGGGATTACCAAAACTGTTGTCCACAGGGCTGAGGAAGGGTTGTTTGAGGTGGTTCGGACATGTAGAGAGAATGGAGCGAAACAGAATGACTTCAAGAGTGTATCAGTCTGTAGTGGAAGGAAGGCGGGGTAGGGGTCGGCCTAGGAAAGGTTGGAGGGAGGGGGTAAAGGAGGTTTTGTGTGGCGAGGGGCTTGGACTTCCAGCAGGCATGCGTGAGCGTGTTTGATAGGAGTGAATGGAGACAAATGGTTTTTAATACTTGAC